CACCAGACACTCGATCAGACAGTTTGTTCAAGGAGTGCGAGTTTCCAGTAAATAATGGAGGAAAGGTTGTTCTTGTCATTCACCAGGAGACATTGAGATATATCTCATATATTGGGGTCATATCCAAGGTCATTAATATAGGTTTTTACAGGTAAGTTCTCCCCAGGTACGCTCGTCAGGTACACTCCCCATGTAAAATGTCTGCTGTTCTATAAGTGATGGATGATTATTTTTATGCATGATTATTACTAATTAGCATAAAATATATTATACAAATTTGTTATTTTATTTTACTGATAAAAATCCCTCCAATAACATTTTCTTGTCATTCTTATCTTTAATTAGAGTAAAATTGGGATAATATTCAATATTTTTTTTTTTCTTTTTTTTTTTTAAAGAGTAAAGATTTGTAAAGAGTAAAGAGCATTTAAAAAAAAGAACAAAAATGAACAAAATGTTAAACATCAACCGATGAAGTGCCCTTTATAAATAACAAAACTCTGGTACAATAATATTTCCATTTTTGAATGAAACCACAAAAATGTACATGGCTAGGACAGGGAACACACAGGCTTGAATGGCATACTGCCTAACTACATAATACTAGCTAGATTACTATAGATGTGCTCGCCCTCATAGTCCTAAACCCGGTACGGGACAATGGTGTGGTAGGGATGTAAAGATTTATAGCTTTAAACCCTAAACACGAAAAAACACCTTCAAAAGCATTGATATCTTTTAACAAAACTTGCTGAAATATTAAAATTTCTAATATTTTAAGTTTTAAATTTTTCATCCGTACTATCGTACTAGTTACTAGACAATGATCTAAAGTAAAAACAATTTATATTTTTATTTTTAATTCAATTTACATTATTTTAAATTAAATTATGTATCTGTTAAGCTAGCATGGTATGTATTTAAAACGTGTCCCTAACACCAGTAAAGGTGATATACCTGATCATTACGGAGTTAGATGCACAGCCGACAGTCAGAAGACTTTCCGAGCCGCTGACTCCTGTGTAAGTAACGAACCACGCGGGTCACGGTAGTTTGGCCCCCAAAGATCGGGTGACGCGCGTTTTTTCTCGTCACTGTTGTTCTTCGTGTACCTGCTCAGTAGAGATTACAGGTATGTAGAACTGAGATGACAATCTATTGCAATTAATTGCATGCTCTCTCGTTGCCCAACATTCCTAAATTACCTAAAATTAAGACTTTAAAACTTACCATATTTCCCCGTCTAAAGTTTGGTGATTTTAATTTAAATGTGTCTACCTCACTCACGAGGCCTTAAGGTTCTCCACCAACCTCAACAGTGTTGATTTTTACCATATGCGTCTGTTTTTTGTCATTTCAATCATGTTTATCCTTAAACTTGATTTAATTTATCAGTTTGAAGTCAGGAATGGTTGATACAAATTTTCATTTTATTTTTTATTTTAAATGAAGTAATGTTTCTTCCAATAAAAACTCAAAGTATAAGAAATAGAAGCAAACAAGCTTTCCATTGTAAGGTGGGTTAAAACAGACTGGGTTTACATTTAGTTGTCTCCCTTGAGTTTCCGTTTACTTTCAGAATACAAAAAGCTACCATTTAATTTTTAAACTTTGTGCCTTGTCACTGTTTTGCATACAGAGTGGCGTAATGAAATCAGTTGGGATTTTTTCAAATCGTACACAAGATATCCCTTTTAATGAAAACTATCTGATACAGCCTAAACACATGGACCCGTATGAAGAGAGTGCTAATTTCCTTTTGTGGTAGACCCATATAGGTTCTATCTCGACTGTGGGCCCTATATTTCAACCATTTTGATAAAACTTTGATCTTCTTAGCTTGAAGTAAAGGGTAGAACACAATTTACACACACGCACATACACTATTTACATACACACACATATTCACACACATACTACATACATCACAGCTGTCCCATATAAAACATTCATCTATTTACCTTACAGACAATAAATGCAAACGTTTTGAGTTAATTTCTCACACGCCTATACACTCATGATCATATATAAATTACACATTTAAAAATGTATGTTCTCTATACACATTATATTGGTATTTTGTACTTATATATATCTTATGTATAAAATAGCCTAACATTTCTACATTACAACACTACAACAGGTAACATGGATGTGGTAGGACCAATCAACAGGCTATGCAATGTAGGGGAGATAATTCAAGGGAGATAACTTTAGTTGTCACTTATTCATGAAAAATCCAATACCAGAGACAAATTCAAGGGAGATAATTTCATTTGCCACTTATATTTCTACAGAAATCCAAAATAAGGGAGAAAAAATCAAGGGAGATAAGTTTGGTCACTTTTATTTGTATACCTTTCCATGATAGAGAAAATTCATGGAAAATATTGATCTTTGTTAAATTACACACACACAAAAAAACAGTCCAGATTATTTGAAGATGAATAATATCATATGTATTATAATTTACACCAGGGGAGATAATTTACCTATCACTGATATGTATTGTATAAGCAACAGTCAAGTTGAAGATGAAAATAAAACTTATTAGTTTGAAGGGAAATTGTTGAGAAAATGTTCAACAATTCAAAATTTAATTAAAAAAATATTCTGCAGTCCTTATTTTAAGAAGTATTCCTTGGAGTAAAAAATTATTGCCACTTTAGTGATTTAAAGTTATCTCCCTTTCTCTACCAATTACATTGAAGAGCAACTGATCATTGGACTTGTACCACAGATTAACAATACATGCACACGAAAAAAAACTTAATAGGTAACATCCAAGAGATTTGGGTACTTTCCAATATTATTGCTGGTCTGATGTGTCAAGTTTGGACCAGAAATGGTACACCAAGTCCATTCTAATCCAAGCTGTTTCAACAGCATACCCTCAAATAAAGGAAAGCAGAAACATATAATGTTCAAAATACAAGTTCCTCTTTGATTTTAGATCAGAATTTAAAAAAAACCATTAAATAAATATTTCATTTCAGTGATTAGTGTATGTATATATATAGTCAGAAAACAAAAGGAAAAAAAAAAGATTTGAGATTTTTTCCCAGCTATACAACACAAATTCCTGCATATTAAATTGCTACATTTTGTTTATCCAACACTTTATATACTGTAGATGTTGTCATGTTACATAATTAATGAAGTTTCCTGAGTCAAGAAATCGAGAACCTATTTCTCGCATTGATGGGAAATGATATACTTTCATAAACAACACCCTATTAAAAATTCTTTAGGAAGACTAAATTGATCTTATTTAACTGTAAGAATTACAAACCATTGTTTCATTGTAAATTAAACCTTGTTGGTATTTTTTATTCAAACGGATTTTGTAAAGACTATATTTCCGACCAATGTCCTAATGATAATATTTCGTCTATATCAGATGAGGTACCGTAGAAAAGGTAGTTTCACAGTAGTTGTTAACCCTTTCACCACTGTAGACCATAATGGACTCATCCATATCAATGCATGGTAGAGTCTGCTAAAGTTACATAGGGGTGAAAGGGTTAATAAACATCTAAACCAGCAGAACTTATTCATCAAATTAACTACTAAAATTAATATCATTACAAACAAAAATTTACAGATTTCACTTAAAAACAACATCAAATATTATTGGATGGCAATGTTAAGTTGAACGTTTGAACCACAATAAATTTTATTTCCACATGAAAATATTTAACACAATTTCTTCTAAATCAACTGAAAATTTCCAGAGTTGAAAGTCTAAGGTAAGAGACGGGAAAAATATTGTAGATCACTACTGGGGAACAAAAATTGTACAGCTGGAACGTCAAGGCACTTTTACTTGTAACAAAACAAATATAACTTGTGATGGACAACTGTTAAACAAAGTGTAGCCATTCTGGATGACAAGGTTGTTGGATCTATTGTACAGTAAAACATGTCTAAAATGAAACTAACATTCCTACAGGCAAATTTTTGTTATTGAATAGAGCAGGATTTCACAATCTGATTACCTCCCTTTGCTGCTTGTTCACGACCTGATTACCTCCCTTTGCTGCATTTTCACTAACTGATTAACTCCCTTTAGTCTATTTTCCAATTTGATTTACATTTACAGCCAAATTATTTCCTTTTGCTGTATTATTCAATCTTCCAAACGACTTTTCAAACATTCATATATATATGAATTTTGTTAAAGTGCATATTTTTTCTAATTGTAAAGTGGGTTTTTTTTAAATATCTTCAAACAGCATGAAATTATACAGAATTTTGTTTCACACATTATAGATTGATGGAATTTAAAGAATATCTTTCTAAACATTTTACTATCAAGACGAGGTAGGGGCCTGGGAAAGTGTTTCCCCATGTTTTACTGTACAATTAATGGATCGGTTCTTGCTGACATGTGTAGTCTTGTTGCATCAGATTCTATATTAGTTCAGGTGACTAAAGAAAATCAAGAATCTTCCAACAAATCTGCGATATGTTGATCCAAACTTCCATTATATAATTCAATCAAGGAAAAATCTGGAAACCTTCTGAATGTTAATTGATACATTGACCTAAATAATCAATTATTTCAGCTAAAACCCAGAAACCATCCAAATGTAGATAAATGTTGACTGAAATATTCTGTTAAGACAATATCAGTAAATGGTACAGAGATAGTGTATCTATGAGTATATTATTTGTACCACAAGAACAGACCCGTTTTTTTTTTCAGAATATACATTAGTAAAACAGAAAACCATTATTATGTCTATCATTAACAATTCAATATATACTGACCTAAAACTGGTAAACTTCGGATGTACACACTGTCGTTATAAATGTTTAAACTGTGTCTTTTCTCCAAATAATAAAATCTATTTCGTTATTAAAATAAATTTGTAATGTTTGAAAACATCATATACCAAATGTTCAAAAATTAAAAAAATTCAATTCTTCAAATTTTTCTCTTTTTAAAAATTAAAAGTTTACATTTTTGATAATAACAAATTGTTATGAAAGTTTCACATTATTCATATATATTAATGTTTGTATGACAATATTGCAACATATTTCAATGATAACGTAACATATTTTGGATAATTTTTCATTTCCTAATAACCATGGCAACCAAAATTAATGATTAATTACGATTGTTTAATGATGAAGTTTATGTGTAGTGGTATGAAATATATGGCGTATCTTTGGCAACGTAAACAGAAAACATCCTTGAACTTCGATTTTTTTCTTTAGAAATTATCAATCAAATTTCTTTATCAGACATATCAGTGATGTTTTCATGTAACACATATGTGTGAAAGTGATCGAAATTCAAGGATATTTTTTGTATGTAAATTTTACACATTATGGCACTTTGACCCTGCCTTAGGTCAAGGCCTTTGTATACATGGCGTTACTATGGTAACCATGTTTCGGTACATGTAGCACTGGAATTAGAGGTAAAGCATTGATAGCCAGCATATCTCTGTGTCACCTGTACAAACAGGTGTGCAGTCGATCGGTTCCCAAGGCAACAGGTAAACAGGTTGTTAAAGATCATCCTTCGCAGTCTTTTCTCTCTTTATTTTTCCGTTTCTTGAACTGTTTCATCATGTAATCCGTTTATTTTCTGTAAGCTCGTCTGAATCTTGTAAACTCCAGACCATCATTTATTACCAATGCCCCATCTCAACAAAATGATAACAATGTAAGTAATAGCACTGACCGATGATGCCGAATCACAAACCACGATTTTAGTTAATATCACCGATCTATATTAAGTAACACTTCCAACCAGCAGGGACATGAAGTTACAAACTGTCTATGATACGTGGGGCCCCATCCTTTCGCAAACGAGATCCGTATGGACCTCGGGTCATACGGACCGTCCACAAACCTTGCATCTTTCATGCCTTTCAAAAACTCAACACAATCGTAGTCAAATATCTTTATCGATCGCCCCGGCAACAACTTTATCACAACGGGCGTCCGTGAGTTTGGGGTGTCAAACCATGATGAATTGACAAATACAGGGAATACAGATCTGTTATACAGCCAAACTCCCGTGTCTTCTCGACTCAGTACGAGTCCGAATCCAATTTTTTCTCTAGTCCGTAACACAGCATCAAGTTGTGTCCCTTGCTGAAGTACTTCGAGAGAGAGGCCTCCCCCGTGAGGTAGTGATTGAAATATATTCATAGACGAGTCAAACACAGTGAACAGGCGTCCAACTCGCTGTCGTAACTCCCAGTAGGCAACAGTACACCAGTGAGGACCTCGCGAACTGCCATTTGTTGTGTCACCTGAAACAAAACAAAAATCTTATAAATATATATATATATACAGATCACAGGTACAAAATATCTCATCTACATCAGACCCTCTTTTAGGAGAATACCTTTCCTTGTCAGTACAGTGGAACCTTGTAAGTCTGGACACTTTAGTTTGTCCGTACAGGAGAACCTTGTTAGTCTGGACACTTTGGTTTGTGTGTACAGAAGAACCTTGTTAGTCTGGACACGTTGGTTTGTGTGTACAGTGGAACCTTGTTAGTCCGGCCACTTTGGTTTGTGTGTTCAGTAGAACCTTGTTAGTCCTGAGGCTTTGGTTTGTGTGTACAGTAGAACCTTGTAAGTCTGGACACTTTAGTTTGTCAGTACAGGACAACCTTGTTAGTCTGGACACTTTGGTTTGTGCGTACAGGAGAACCTTGTTAGTCCTGAGACTTTGGTTTGTGTGTACAGTAGAACCTTGTTAGTCTGGACACTTTTGTTTATATGTAGAGTAGAACCTTGTTAGTCTAGACTTACTTGGGTTTTTGACTGTTTTTTGATTGATAGAACATTAAACTTATATTTTTTTTAATTCTATTTTCATTTGTTTGCCTGCACCTATTTTCTTGTCTTTTGTTGTAGAACCATCAAACATGCTCATATTATGTATCCTTTTCTTTATTCTGTCTTTCTTTATTCGTCTGTCTGCCCCTGGTTTTGTCTGTCTTTGGTTGTGGAACCATCAAACATTCTAATATGATGTATCCTTTTCTTTATTTGTCTGTCTGCCCCTGTTTTTGTCTGTCTTTCGCTGTATAACCACTGACTCATATCTGTGTGTGTAGGAACAGACAATCAGCTTGAAGTAAACAAGGTAGTGGCCTCTCTATAGCTATATCTCCTATCATTTCTTGGCTCCAGTGGTCTGGTCCATTTCTACCTGGGAGTCGAGGGGAGGGCAGGTCTGATATCAACAGCGCTATTAATCAATACTGGAGCCTAACTGTCATTCAGAATCTCTGCTAAAGGGGCCCAAAGGGGGGATTTAAACTGTACACATATTATATACCATACTGCAGGAGCCTAAAGGGGATTTAAACCTAACAAATATTACATTTGATACAAATGCAGCCCAGGGGAACGTTTTGATCCCTATAATTTTTGTTGTACTGTACTGACAGGGCCCAGCTGAGGATCAAACCCTACACATATTAAATACTCCACAGAGTGATCTAAAATCTATGAATATTATATCTAGTGATCTGGGAATATAACACAGTCACTTTATAACCAACCAGAGTATATACGATACTCAAAGTACCACACCAGGGTAAATATATATAGTCAAAGTACCACACCATGGTAAATATATATGGTCAAAGTACCACACCAGGGAAAATATATATGGTCAAAGTACCACACCAGGGTAAATATATATGGTCAACGTACCACACCAGGGTAAATATACATAGTCAAAGTACAACACCAGGGTAAATATATATAGTCAAAGTACCACTCCAGGGTAAATATATATTGTCAAAGTACCACACCAGGGTAAATATATATGGTCAACGTACCACACCAGGGTAAATATACATAGTCAAAGTACCACACCAGGGTAGATATATATAGTCAAAGTACCACACCAGGGTAAATATATATGGTCAACGTACCACACCAGGGTAAATATACATAGTCAAAGTACAACACCAGGGTAAATATATATAGTCAAAGTACCACACCCGGGTAAATATATATGGTCAAAGTACCACACCAGGGGAAATATATATAGTCAAAGTACCACACCAGGGGAAATATATATAGTCAAAGTACCACACCAGGGCAAATATATATAGTCAAAGTACCACACCAGGGGAAATATATATAGTCAAAGTACCACACCAGGGGAAATATATATAGTCAAAGTACCACACCAGGGTATATATATATGGTCAAAGTACCACACCAGGGTAAATATACATACTCAAAGTACCACACCTGGGTAAATATATATAGTCAAAGTACCACACCAGGCAAAATATATATAGTCAAAGTACCACACCAGGGTAAATATATATACTCAAAGTACCACACCAGGGTAAATATATATGGTCAAAGTACCACACCAGGGTAAATATATATAGGAAAGTTAGTGCAATACCTGTTAACACCTTCAGATGTATACATACAATTTTGACTTTTTCTTTTTAGAATTTATATACATGCTAGTTAAGGTCATCATACATATATATATACAATTTTAAGACGTGCCTTATTTTTAGATCGAAGTTTATAACTTTTTCTTTTCATATATCACAATTTTGAAACATAGTGTTATTTTTCAAGTTTATATAGCAGTGACTATCACCTGGTATTCAGTTTCAAAAAAACTTTTAAAACTTATCAGTAGGAAATCAAAAGTTGTGCAATTTTAAAACACATACACATTTAATGTGTAGTTACTAATCATCAGACCACAAGTATCTACATGTACAGATGTTTTTTGAAAAATCCAACACAAAACAAATTATGAACATTACTTACGCAGTATTTTAAAATCCTATGTTTCTTCCTAAAACCTATCTATTAGGTTTTATCTCCTAGTGAATATATAGAAAAGTAAGGATATAAAATTTGGGATACAAAAATCCACAAATCTTGTACCATATTAACAGGATCAGTATAAAATGTGTTGTATTAAATCTGAGAATGTAAAATCTATTTTGTGGATTAAGGTCATGGTGCAAGATTTTAATAATTCATAAAAAAAATTACACATAAATATAATTAGCGTCTTGCTAAAGCTGAGTTTATCAGAATTTCAAAGAAGCTTTTTTTGTGTAGTTAAGCAGTGCGGGATAGTAAGGTCTGTGAAAAAGAAAAATCTACAAAAATCTCTGAAACAAAATTAGCCAGTGTAGTTAAAACTCAGAGTCTTGTTAAACCTTATATCTATTTTGTGGATATTTAGGTCAGAGCACACAAGAACCCTACCTACTACAAATAGTTGGCTGGCTTTACCCCTAGCCTCCTCCTCCTCCTCCAACCCACTGTATACCAGGCCTAGTGTATATACACCGACACAGAGTGTAGGCCCAGACATAGAGTCTTGTTGAGGCGACACTGTTCTCCCATCCCTACACCACTAACACACAGCCCTATACAGAAACAAGTACTCCCTTTGTTACTCCATTGTGTGGCTCTACCATCACGGTTTTGTATCCAGCCAACAAAAAACTGCCAGGATGGCTCTACTTTACTTTAAACAACAACAAAGTAATCAAAACTGTTTTGTTTCATCCCCTTTGTGGAGTATTTTTCTCCCCGCCTACGATTCGCAGTGATCCTCACTGATCAGTGAACGAAGGGCGCCTCAATACCAGCCTGTCATGTCTACGGAGTTTATCATCAGCGTTCATCATTTTAATGCCTGTCGCTAATTGTTACAGATATATAGCACTGGTTGTAAGCTGAAATGCCTTGTATGATTCTAATGGCCGTCAGTAATTGTTATGAAGACACCACGTCGGTTGCGAGCTAAAACTTGAAGTTGTCTTTTCTATAGGGTAGTCAATAAATTTGTACAAATATGAACGGTTACTGGTAATTGTTACGAATGCTGTTTATATAGTCTAACATTGCTTATGAGGAAAACCATTTTGTTTAATTTTGCAGAGTCCACCATTTTTATGATTATAATTGATGTTGGTGGTAATTAGGTTGGAGTAGATGACAGCCTTGCTATCTTACAGTAATCAAGATTGGTGATAGAGTTATTTCCCTTAAAGTAACTCATTTTGTTACTTTCCTTCTTCTTCATAATTCAGTAAGTGGAATTGGGTAGGCCATCAAATGTAATTTGCCATTTTCATTAATCCTATTCTATAGTGGAACTCTTTTGTGTTTAACTTTTTAGGAAATAGTGGAACTCTTTTAGAAATGAGACATGTGTTGGAAAAGTGAACCATACAACCTTATATAAGAAGTACATATGTGTGAAATATTCTGAGAGAAAATAATGCTCAAGTAAATGACATTGTTTTATAAGACAAAACAACTCAAGGGAGATAACCCTAACATAAATCACAGTATGTGTAAGGTAGCATATGTCCTTAAACCAACATAAATCACAGTATGTGTAAGGTTACGCATATGTCCTTAAACCAACATAAATCACAGTATGTGTAAGGTAGCATATGTCCTTAAACCAACATAAATCACAGTATGTGTAAGGTAGCACATGTCCTTAAACCAACATAAATCACAGTATGTGTAAGGTAGCATATGTCCTTAAACCAACATAAATCACAGTATGTGTAAGGTAGCATATGTCCTTAAACCAACATAAATCACAGTATGTGTAAGGTAGCATACAGCTTTAACATGCTAACTAACAGGTGTGGGTAAAACAGACTTTATGAGATTTTATTTTTATATACTGTAATTTTATCGGTAGTAATCTCTGTTTTTATTGAATTTAAACAGGAAAGAGTAACGTTTGAATAATAGAATTCTTTACAGAAGTACAGAGCATACAATATAGACACTGATAGAGAAGCTTAGCAAAACAATATTCTTCTTCGCATGTTTGAAAACAATTACAAACTGGTTATAACATGTTCAAAATTATCAAAATATTTAAAAAAAAAAAAAGTTGAAATTACTTCAAAAGCAATCCTCACATTCAGTAAAGTGCTGAGTCATTGACTTCTTGCCCTGGTTTATTATAATTGTACAATTATCACAATTCTACAGACAATTTTCCAGAGTACGCCTAATCGTACCTAAATGTACGGGACCAAATTACCTAGTCACTTATAATTTGACGACAGCATTCCGTAAATAATATTCCAATTTTGAAATGTGATAGATTTTATTTCCTCGGGACCAATTACAAGACATATTGAAGAAACTTGATTAATTCATAATCTACCTATACCAGAAGTCTGATTTAATCAAAACCGGGATAATTCATGAACTTATTTTAACCAAACTGTGGTCCTTTTGGTATTTTATACACCAGCAGTTCA